ACTGTCATCTCTTACTTTTGACCTAACAATGTTTTGCAATCTTTTGAACAATGAAGGGAAAGTTCTATCATTATGGAGCTCTGGGTAGAAAGTAAATTATATGCTTATAGCAACTGTAATGTTTACTTTTAATAAACCAGTGCTCCATTTAGTCTTTAAAAGTGATACCTGTGCTGCCCATCATACTGTATAGCATCGGCATATCAGGTCTGCTGTCTTTCATGGCAGTACAAAATATTTCTGTATTTTGCAGTTTTTGAGGTTTTCAATTAATGAATTGTTCCAACAATCCCACATTGTTATTTAAAAAGAAAAATTCTGTGTTACAGTTGGTGGATCTGAAGGCAGAGCTTTACCGGAAACAAGAGGAATTCAAACAGGATAAACTTCTGAAAGAAGCAGGGGCTCCATTTAAAGCCAAATCAGCGAACAAGGTAGGTGTGCGGTAACTGTCATTACTACTATTTCCTCATCAGCCTTGTAGAGGTCATATAGTTAGCCTGACTTTGCCAAATGACAGTAATATTATTTATCATGTCTGTATGAATGCTTCATGCTTGTGTTTTATGAGTAAGGGAAAACATCTGACAGGTATTTTCTCCTTTCAGTTTGATTTGGTGAAGACACAGTTGGTGAAGGGAGGGTCCATTGAGTTAAATTTGATTTTCATTAGCCTTTATGTATTAATGTCATTGTTCTAAAAGAGCCTTGTGATGACGCTGCAAAATATTGCTCTTGATTGAACTGCTTCACAGTGACCTTAATTGCTTCTTGAAAAATGGTAGATTTTGTGAGCTCAGTTTTGTTTTAGATTTTTTTTTCCTCTGATTGTACCTTCCCTCTCACCAAACAGTTGAGGGGAGCCTTCCTCCCACTTTTATGTCCATCTTGCCCCAGCCTTGTATCTATCAGCATATTCATCTTTCAGTTTCAGCTTGTAAGTTTTTCTGTATAAACATTGTTCTTACCTAAACCATTTGAGGATGGGGCTGAGACACATTATGGGTGCAAACTAGAGGATCTTTATTCTGCATTTAACCTGCTTTGTACCTGACCTAGGAGTGTTTGATAGTAGCAAACTGGGAAGCATTCTAGTCTCCCACACTAATATGCTACACCTTGGTGAGCAAATATATATTTCTTAAAAAAGAAATCACTGCTTTGTACTTTCTCTGAAACCGAGGTTGGCTTAACCAAAATTGTATGCTCATTACTTTACAGCACCTGCAGTATTCCTGGAGATGCAGGGAAATGTTAAACTGATGATCTGTAAATTTTAACAGAAGCCAAGTATCTGGACCAAACAAAATGCAGGTGTTTTAAATCGAGCTGAGAAGGACGTAGAAGAAAGTATTGAGGAACAGCAGACTCTCGATAAATCAAAGTAAGAGTTTGATCTGGAATTTATCTTCACTGTGAGTCAAAGTCCTAGAATCATACATTGTCATTAACTGTTTAGTGAGAATTCATTTGACAACCTAACATCTGTGGTGAGGAAACTGTTAAAGTCTATAATTAATGATGTGGCAACTGAACATATCGAAAATTTTCAATTAATCAGGGAGAGGCAGCATGGATTCATGTCAGTAGGTCAATGCCTAACAAACCTCAGTGATTTTTTTTTAAGAGGTGACTAAGATAGTGGACAGGGGAATGTCGATGGATGTTGTTTATATGGACTTCCAGAAGGCATTTGATAAAGTCCCACATAACAGACTGTAAACTAAAGTAGAAGCCCACAGAACTGAGGGCAAATTGCTGACATGGCTGGGAAATTGATTGAGTGGCTGGCGACAGAAAGTAGGGATAATGGGTAGGTACTCCAAATTGACAGGAAGTGGGGTCAGTGGTGATCCTCCAGGGCCTGTGTTAGGGCCTCAATCATTCATGTTATTTATTCATGATTAGATTGTTGGATAATTGCATAGAATGTCATATATCCAAAACTGCTGTTGACAGAAAGCTGGGCGGCTTTGTACATGTAGATAATAGCATAGAATTACAAAGCGACTTTTGGTGGAATGAGCAGAACTGTGGCAGAACTCAATGTAAGCAAGTGTGAGATTATCTATTTTGGACCACAAAAAAGATTGATCAGGGTACTTCCTGGGTTGTATGAAGTTAAATACAGTAGAATTTCAAAGAGACTTGGTGGGTGGGGGGTGGGGTGCGGGTCTGGAATGTGGGGTTCGGCTGTACATATCTTTAAAATGCTGCAATATGTGCAGAAAACAATTAAGGGAGCTAACGGAATGCTGACTTTTATATCTAAGGTCATGGATGCAGAAGTTATGCTGCAGTTTTGCAAAACCTTGGTTAGTCCCCACTTTGAGCGCTGGGAGCAGATCTGGGCACCACACCTTGGGAAGGATATACTGGCCTTGGAGGGATTGCAACGTAGGTTTACAAGAATATCTGGGCTTCAGGGGTTATGTTATGAGATTATACAAATTAGTCCTGTTTTCTCTAGAATTTAGAACGTTACGGGGTGGTCTGATCAAAGTTTTTCACGATAATTACTGGAAAAGACAGGGTAGATCAAAATAAACTATTACCACTGGTTGGAGATTCTGGAACTAAGCATCAGAGTCTGAGGATCAGGGCCAGACCATTCAGGAAAGATGTGAGGAAGCACTTCGACACCCAAAGGGTGATAGATGAATGCAACATTCTTCCAGAAACAGCAGTGGATGCTGGATCTTTTTGTTAATTTTAAATCTGAGGTGGATAAATATTTGTTAAAGTAAAGATATTAAGGGATATGAGCCAAAGGCAGGTATATGAAATTCAGCCACAGATCGGCTATGATCTCAGTGAATGACAGAACAGGCTCAAGGGGCTGAATGGCTTCCTCCTGTTCCTATGAATGGTGTAACCTATTCCAGTCAGTTACTGAAATGCAGAGGTATTGAAAGAGGAGGATTGTTGAGAATTTCTGCCATTTTACCATGATGTAGTCATGAACTTGTTTATGCTTGCGAGTTTTCATTCTTTCATGGAAGCTACACATCGAGGGGAACTGGGAGGGTTGCTGTGCTGACTGGGAGAAGTCCACGTTTGGCCAAGGAATGGACAAATATGTCCAAATTTGGCTTTTGCTTATTGCATCTTTCAGGAGCATGGATGGGATCAGTAACTTAATAAAATGGGATTTGAATCTGCCTGCTTCTGCAGATAAACCTCTTGGGTACTACAAAGTTCAATATTTGAAAACTACTCCCTTATACAGGGACTGCTTTTCACCATGTGACCTGATAGCCAAACCCTGTTATTACCTTAAAGTTTTTAAAATTAATTCACAAAGTGAGAGTGTCACTATAGCAGTCAGCATTTATTGCCCATCCCTAATTGCCCAGAGGACAGTTCAGAGTCAACCACATTGCTGTGGGTCTGGAGTCACATGTAGGCCAGACCAGGTAAGGATGGCAGTTTCTTTCCCAAAAGGACATTAGTGAACCAGATGGGTTTTTCCAACAATTGACAACAGTTTCATGGTCACTTACAGCTTCTTTGTGTCTTCATTTTGCAACTTTTTATTTTCCTTCTTTATAAGTGCTCTGAAATGTCATTGTGTAGGAGAGGAGTGCTATATAAATGTAAGTGGCGAACTCTTCTTTCTTTATACTGTTTCCTGAGCTCCTCCAATCATTCTAGTCAAAGGTTTTGTCACACCGTCTCCATCTTTTCATTTCTAGTTTTGCAAGGCCTTAAAACTGAAAATCCTTATCTTTCTTAAACTTTTGTCCTTTTTAAGCTTTTACCATCAGCAGTTTACTGTTGCTAAGTCAACCGTGTCTTTTTCTCACTCTTTAGACCTCAGAGGCGTCCTGCACTATGGGACAGCACTGCTGTTTACTTGGGTCTCTCAATTATAATGAACCAGTTGTAAGAAAGATTTGCATTCATGCCAGACATTTTCACAATCTTAACATCCCAAAGCGCTTACTGGCCAATTAAATACTTCTTGTGAGTTGTAATAACGGTTCTAAATTGGGGAATGTGGCATCCAAATTTCACACAGCAAGATTCCACAAACAGTAATGTGATACTGACCAGATTATGTATATTTCTGATGATATTGGCCATATGATGCTAGAGAGCTCCTCTGTTGTTAGTGAAATAGTGTCATGGAATCTTTTATGTTCACCTGGCCTAAGATCTCATCTACAAGCTGACCCCTCCATCAGTGTAGTACTGTTTTGTTACTGTACTAGGACTGTCATCCTGGATTTTGTGCTCAAGCCACTGAACTGATGTTTCTTCAAATAAGGGATTTCCTTTCAAAAGAGTGGTGTTTGATAGTGTGTTTATACTGCGTTATAAAATGCCATGTGTTAGCTATTGTAGGCTAAATTAATTTCTGCTTTCTTTAGGCAGAGGCTAGAGGAAAAAGCAAAACTTTATGAACAAATGACAAAAGGAGACTTACCAGGTAATCTGTGGCTTCTAAGTTTTGTTCCATTTCCATTTAAATCTGGATAAGAATAAATAGAAAGGCGGCTTTGTTTCTGAGATGTCTCAGTCGAAGGTTTGAATCTCATCTGGGATTCTTTGATTTTGACAGTAGGGGTTTGAAGGTTCTAATCACCAGGGCCACCTCTCATTTAAATGAGTACAGATTCACGGAAAACATTTTAATCTTAAAAAAAAACCCTCTGTGCTTAATTTGTTTTAATACATGGTATAATGGTCTTTAATGTCAGACCATTGATAGTCTGGTTGTCTGCCTCTGTTGACTGTATTCTAACTGTGTTAACCTTTCTCATATGGTGGAGATCTTTGAATCAGTGCATGCCTTTATCGTCCATCTGGACTAGGCATGTTCTTTTCCTCTTCCTTGTTTTCACGTTGTACAGCTCCCTCGCTGCCAGCTCTGTGGGCTTCAGTTTGATGACCTGTTCCCGCTGTCTCCGAGCGTCATTCCAGGCTAGTAGAAGTAAACAAGGCTGTCTTCCTTAGGGAAAGGACTTTGTTCCAATGAGTCATAGAATATCTACAGTGCAGACAGAGGCTGTTTGGCCCATCAAGTCTGCACTGATCCTTCAAAGAGCATCCTACACAATCCCTGTAATCCCACATTTCCCATGGCTAATCCACCTGGGCACTGCGAGGCACTTTAGTACAGCCAAACCATTAAGCCTGCACATCTTGTGACTGTGGGAGGAAACCGGAGCACCTGGCAGAAATCGAT